CACTAACCTCCCTGCAAGAAGGTCTCTGACCACAAGGGGGCGCTCAGGGTCTCTGAGCACAAGGACCATTTCAGCAGCAGATGCAGTTGGAGGTCTGGGCTGTTTCCTGTGTGGTTTCCACTTCATGTCACAGTTTCCCTCAGGGAACCTCTGGAATCTGATTCTTCGCTGACGTCTGAGTCTCTGAGTGAGAAAGTCTGTTGTAAAGAGAGACAACTTTCTCATGTGAACAAAAGGTAGAGTCTCTTTCATACACCCTTGTGCCATAATGAGTTTTATCCTCAAATCTTCTGAACCTCGTCACCTGAATCTAAGAAGAGGCTCTAATGACTCAACAGTGCAGCTGCCCTGAATGCTGGACCGTTGGCTCCACATGTGTGTGAACTCAAAGCTACAGAAGAAGGACCCACAGGGTGACAGTCCTGGTCTTGTCCTCATGCTCACAGCACCCAGAGGAGTGGACACCATGCAGAAGCAGAGGCACAGCAGCTGGTACAGATGTTCATGACACACACACACCAAGGGGACGTGGGATGGTGATTATGCTCGTGATTGAAACCCCTGAGAAGCACAGAAAAGATCACTCTGGGAGTCAGACCTGCTTGGATGGAGACTGGAAAGGAGATGAGTGCAGGGCTTTTATTTTGGCAAGGTGGTGTGGGAGAGGGAGGAATTCTGTTTCCAGGGACTTGTGAGGTTTCAATCTCCCAATACTTGGAAAAGTATGACTTCTTATCCAAGTTCTGGTGTGTGGGGTAGGTGGAGAAGAGGCAGCAATGAGTCAGTAGTTAGAAGTCAAGCAAAAAAGAAAATATAGTTGCATTTTATTTAGCAACTATACAAATTGAGCAAAAATTGAGAAAAAAGGTCTGTACAAAAACCACACGTAAAGACAATGAAAAGAATTAGGGTAAGTAAGAAAATGATGTTGATGTTGATGTTGACAATGATGATGCCGGTGATAGAAATGGAAAGGAATCTCGGTCCAATGTCTTGGTGGGAATCTGTCCTTTCACGCTGATCTGTCATCGGCTTTTTAAAGACCTGTGTTAACTTACAGCTGGGCCATTGGGGTATCAATCCCCAATGGCATCTGAAGAGGAGGCGCCTGCTTTGTTTACTTACAAGAAGTCATTGTGTGTGGACAACCACCATGTCCATAGAAAACAAGAAGAATGATTATAAGTAAGCAAATTGTGGTGATGATGATGATGAAGATGATGATATTGGTGATTATAGTGAAAATGATGGACTGAGACAGGAGCCCTGGTCTAATGGATTGAAGGCTCTTCATACAGACACATACATCACCTTGGATCCTCCAGTGAGGAATGTCCACTCTTCAGTGAGTGTTGAGAGATTTCATAAATGGGACCCCAGTGAATTACACATCTATGGTGATTCATGGTGAGACCATGTGGATAATCAACCCAAAGTTGTCCAAGTGGGAATACCTTGGACCTGGGAAGGTGTCACCTTCTAGAACAGAGACACTGTGGGAATGGGCATGTAGGAAACAGGGTCTCCTTCCCACCAGTTTACTGTGACAGGTTCCTTATTTCTCTTGATCCCTGCCTGCATGATCTTTCTCATTTCTAGTTCTAAAAATTCCTGCTCATCATTTTTTGGGTATTTCCTATGATGATACAAGCTGTCTCTATCAGTGGAGGCTCAGCATTTTCTGTGAATTCTTTGTAAAATCACCCCCATTAAGGAAAATTTTGTTAAATCAGCCTCTGTTATAATTAAACACATTTTCCCACCAAAGCTTTCATTAAGCAACTT